TTAGAGTACCACGGGTTAGAGTACCACGGGTTAGAGTACCAGGGGTTAGAGTACCACGGGTTAGAGTACCAGGGGTTAGAGTACCACGGGTTAGAGAACCACGGGTCTGAGTACCACAGGTTAGAGTACAACGGGTCTGAGTATCACAGGTCTGTTATAGCAACGAAGACTTACTTGTCCTGCAGCCAAGGCTTGATTTGAAGCAGACACAGCCTTGATGGCTTCGTCTACGTCACGTTGACCAGGGAGGCAGTTAACACAGTTGTTCAAAGCATTAGATACACCTTTTGCAACCTATCGATATAAAGAATAACACCTTATTGAATAACCAACATCATGGCTGTCATCCAACATAATTGACATTCAACATTGCCGTCATCCACCATGGCCGACATTCAACATGGCTGTCTTCCAACTTGTCAGACATTCAACATGGCTGTCATCAAACATGGCCGACACAGCAAAACAAACTCATGGGTTACCTGTGCTAGTTTCTGTTGGTTGTTCGGATCTCCAGGTTTGGCCAATGCATTCTTTGCTTCCGCTAGAAGTTTCCCTGACTCAACTATGACGTTACGCGCAGACTCAATGAGTTTTTTCTGCGCTTTTTTGTCACGTGTTCCCCCTGCTACCCCACGCACTGATGACGTCAGAATCTTGAGAGCGTTTGCAGTATCACGTGCTGCTGTGCCGGTGAACTTCTCGTTACCCTGACAACCATCAATTATTCATTAATTAATATTTTCTAGAAGCCTTAGAGAAGACAATTTTAATGTGAAAAAGGCCCTTTGCAGTTAACGGTCACGTGTCTGTACTGGTGAGCAAAATGTAGTTTTATTACGATCTCTCGAAACAGGTTGTAGAAAGTTTGTTTGCTCACCAGTATATTTCACCCATGGGAATCAAGATGTTCATTCATTTGCTCTCAGTGAATTAATCAGCACGTGATTACTGAGCTACAAAGGGCCTATCATTGTATTGATACCGCTTGAGCCTGCACTTACCCCAGCAGCAGCGGTCAGCAGTTGTGCCATGGATGATCCAACACTCTTCGACGTGGCGCCAAGTTCAAGAGCACATGATTCAGGCTGTAGAAGAAAAGAGTTTTCTTTTTCAAATATAATATCAGAACACTGACATAACTTTCACTGACCGTCCTATTGATGGTTTTCACGTCGGCCATGTTGGAGGAACTTAACAAAAGAATTGTCAATGAATTCTTTTGTTATATCCTCCAACACGGCCGCCGTGTCTTTCGTTTAATTTAATTCTCTTGGGAATGGTTGAAAACCATCAATTCGGCCATTTTCACTAATAGGTCATGTTCTCTTAGTCCCCTTACGTTAATCACTTGTCTTAAGACATACAATAGATAAGAAAAGAGTCTCCTCTCCTTTCCTTTCAGAAAAAAAATATATAAAAAATAGTGTGCAGCGAGTGTTACAAAAAAATATTGGCAACATAAATTCCTGCAAACCTCCCCAATTATCAATTAGTTTAGTTTACAATTATTCAAAGAAATTTGTAATAATCCTAATCATAAATCTACTGGACCATTCCTTATGAACTTACTCGTACAACCCAACTTACTGTTTCACCAGGAAGAGGAACCAGTTTTTCTTCATCAGCTGCTGCTTCAATAGCCTTTAAATCATTTTCAAGTCCTTTTAATTTCTTCATTGCGCTGTCTAACTCTAGGGTACCACATGCTTCTGCTGCCTGTGAAATAATATAGCATTAGATTAAATTAGTAAGTCATGTTGTGATTGGTTGATGCGTTTTAAAAGTGTTTTTGAATGGTTCAGAGAGGGAGCTATTTAAGAAATCTCGCTTTCTGGTTGATGGGCAGCCCGTGCATTACGAGATGACAAAGCACGCACATACACTTTCTATTTCGTCTCCAAAATAATGTCTAGTCTAATTTGTATTTCATAAAAGAAAACGTGTGCGCGTAGTGTATTAAGTCGTAAAGCACTTGGGGATTTACAGAACACTAGATAGGCGTTAGAAGAAGCATGTCACATTTACATTTTCTATTCTTCAGTAAAGGTACTATCACACAATCTCTCGCACATTTGTTTTTTTTTACGCAACGTTTTCCAGCAGTGATTAGCAACCCTGTAATATTACTAGTTCACCTTATCAGCAGCATCTCTCAGATCGCTCAGCTTCTGTGCTGTGCTCTTGGCAAAGTTGGCCAGTTGTGTAGCATACATTGGCTCTCCTACTGTTGGTAAAGCAGCTTTTGAACACGCAACCATCTTGGCCACTGGCTAGAAACACACAAAAAACAATGGGCATAACAGTTAACTCCATAAATTTGATATCGCCATAGTAATTGGTTTTTATAGTGACTGGTTGTCATAATAGTGACTGGTTGTCATAGTAACTGGTCGTCATAGTAACTGGTTGTTATAATAGTGACTGGTTGTTATAGTGACTGGTTGTCATAGTAACTGGTCGTCATAGTAACTGGTTGTTATAGTGACTGGTTGTCATAATAGTGACTGGTTGTCATAGTAACTGGTTGTCATAATAGCGACTGGTTGTTATAGTGACTGGTMGTCATAGTAACTGGTTGTTATAGTGACTGGTTGTCATAGTAACTGGTCGTCATAGTAACTGGTTGTTATAGTGACTGGTTGTCATTGTAACTGGTTGTTATAGTAACTGCTTGTCTTGTGCACCCTTTAGATTAGTTTCACATTTTCAAGGCAATAAATATGTTTAGTTGTTAACCTTATTGTATTTTTTTATTAATTTTTGGGTGGTCCTATAACTGACCCGTGGCACACCACATTAAACAATCACTTGAAACATTAAGAAACATTAAAATAGATATCACTCACCACAATGAAAAGCTTGGACTGATTAATGAGGCCAAGTTGAGCACTGGGATCATCTGGGTTGTTGGCACATTCTCTCAAAGACTCGAGCAGCTTGGCTATCTCATCTTCAACCGGCTATAGACCCAAAAAAACCAAACAGTTAACAAAGAAAAAGCATTGCCAAGCAGAATACACCAGCCGTCAAACGTACCTTRAACATATCATCTAGCTGTTGTTGGGATGTCTGGTTCCTGTTGGAAGGACCAGCTGCTTGTGCTGCAGCAATCAGTTGTGTAGCCTGGCCTGTCGCTTCCTTGGCTGCTTTCTAAACCCAAGGATTTGGTTACTGATGATGACGGTGATGTTGCTGATGATGGCGGTCATTGTGATGATAATGGTGATGATAGCGATGGTCATGATAATAATAATTGATGATACATGATGACTGATGATACATGGTGACTGATGATAGATGATGATGATGATACATGATGATGATGTTCGTTTTGATGATGGTGATGACGATAATGATACACGATGATGAAGATGGCGAATGTCGTAGTGGTGTTGATATCTTACCTCTAACCGTTTCACAAGTTTCTTTTTCAGGGCATCACTGGCAGCAGTGTTCGTCGCTGAACGAACATCTTCAGCTGCTCTTTTCAGCTTTTCTTGTTCACTCGCATCATTTGGATTACTGGCTGTACCCTGGAAAACGAGAAAAAAGTCATATATTAAAAACTAACCCAGTTGGCTCAGTTGGTTAAACAAAATGCAGGAGGTTGTAGGTTTAATTCCATTAATCAGTGTCTTAAAATAACTTAGGAAAAGTTATGCCTTTGTATCTAATTTAGAAGATAAATCCTACCCTAAACAATGAATACGGTAAGAGTAAATGGCTTGCACCCACGTGTTGAAGTTTGTTGTGAAGTGTGATTGCCGGGTGAGTGTTATCTTGAGAATAACTGTTGTTGGGGGTGACTGACGTTTTGACAACCTCAGCGAAGTCATCTTCAGAATCAAGTGAGAAAACGAAAGAAATACTGTGTTGTTAAAGGTTGCATTAGAAGGTTTACATACCTTAGCAGCTTCAACAAGCTTTGCAGTGGCATCGGCCAGTAACTTAGCAGCGTCCAACAGTCTCTTCTGAGAGTCATCATCATCTTGAGTCTCGGCTTCTGACTTGATGCCGGTGACCAGCAATGATGTGGCCTGTCATAAACAAAAACACAAACACTTATTGACTGCACATCTGATAAGGTTTTGAAACTAAAATACAAAAGTACGATTTAAAAAAAAAAGTCTTTTTTTATTTATACACGGTAGGATTTAAAGCTAGAAGCTTGTGGAACCATGTATCCTCCATACACGCTCCTTACTACATTCGAATATTCTATACACACAACTCTCAAATCACATGTTGATTTTTATGGAGGGAGGAAAACCAGAGAACTTAGAGAAAACCCTCGTAGCATAGGAGAGAACAACACCTGAAAAAAACTCATTCGCATGTGGTGTCCTCAGGGCTCCTACAAGCGACCCAACTTTTGGACTCACAGCAATGAAAGACAATGCATTAGCAGCGTATGCCACCCATGCCACAATATGAACAGCAGTAATGGCAACATTATTGAAGTACAGCACAGTTTATCAAATAGAGGATATTACATGGGTGCGCAGAGATACGAATTATATCTTCGAGTGTTCATTTGATATCTCAGGAGTGAGCGCAGCGAACGAGTGAGATATCTAAATTGAACACGAGAAGATAAAATTCGTATCTCCAAGCGGCCATGTAATGTTCTGTTTATTATTTAGATATCGATGAAACTTAAATAAAACAAAAACTCAAAAACTCTTTCCTAAAATACGTTACCATGTCAACAGCGATATCTTCACGTGTGAAAGATATGGTATCTTCCACTGGTGAAAGATATCAAGTTTTCGACACTAGAGAAAACCTGGTATTTCATCGATATTAAAATTTATATAATAACATCTTTTATACTCCTTACCTGAGCTAATATTTTAGCTTGTTTGACCATTTCACCAGCATTGCCCATACTGTTAAACAGTCTGTCTGTAGCACCAAGAATGTCATCACAGGTTTCGTCATATTTCTCGCCCACCTTTGGCTTGATTCCTCCCTCGCGGACCTTCGTTAACAATTGATTTAGAGCATCTCTGACGCCCTGAGCTGCTCCATATAAAGCTGTAAGGTCCTCGTCCTTGGGGTTTGCTTCCTGTTAAAGTGAAATAAAATAATAATAATACTCAAGGGAATGACACATGGTCTGAAATGGGAAAACATTGCACCATAGCTGAAAAGGATTACTAGTAAAGAAAGAAATAATACTCAAGGGAGTGACACTTGGTCTGACATATGAAGCACTTAAAGAATAAAGCTGACTCTACAATACCTTACAATTGTCTTCAGTATCCCTGACAGCCTTAGCAACCAGTTTTGCCGCCTCCACTACCTGATCTYGGCACATCTGACTGCTGATGGTCGGAACGACGAGCTTCACACAAGCAACAAGCTGTGATGTGGTCATGGCTGTGTCTTTAGCTGCTCCTATGACTTTGGCCTGGTGTGCCATGTCTGGACATTGACTGGCAATGTTCTTGCCCTTCAGCACCAGAGTTGCCGTTGCATTGGCAACTGCCTGAGCGAGCTGTAGAAGCATTTCCTGGTGGGGAAGAGGAAAAAGAGGTATCAGCAAGCTGGCAAGAACTGTAATCATCAGCATCATCATCATCATTTATATCATCATCATGCATCATATTTACATCATCTTCATCTTCATCATAACCATGCATCATCATTTATAGCATCCTAATCATTATCATCATCATGCATCATCATCATTTATATCATCATCATCTTCATCATCATCATAACCATGCATCATCATTTATATTATCATCATCATCATCATTATCATGTATCATGCATCAACATTTACATCATCATCATCACCATCATTATCATGCATCATCATCATCATCATCACCACCATCATCATCATCATTTACCTGTGTTTGTTGATCTACTTCTGGTTCTCCCATGTACTCTAACAGCTGTGCTCCAGATGATCCCACATTACCTGCTGCACTCAAAAGACGTCCACGTTTCTGGAAACAAAACATACCTTCAAAGTTCCATCTACGATAATCTAACGAACATGCTCCCACAATCTTACAAAGTCAGGGGTTTTGCAAAACCTATATGACTACTTTAATGAGAGGCGTCAAAAAATGTTGAGATTACGTTTGGCTGTAACTACTGTACATAAGGGAAGCCGTTGAAAAGAGCGCTAAAGGTGAGTGAAATGATACCATGAAAATAAGTGAGCCGAGCAGACAAAGATATTGAAAAATTGTTATAATGGCCCTATAAAAATATTTTAAAAATCAAAATCAAAATCATCAAAATAAATAAAATGAGTAACTATTATGGAAATTT